ATATATAAAGAAATCTTAAACTGAGCTTCCAGCCGGGTGTGGTGGTACATGTCTGTAATCCCAGCACTCAGGAGGCTGAGGCAGAAGGATCATTGTGAGTTCAAGACCAGCCTTGGCTACAGAGTGAGTTCAAGGCCAGCCTGAACTGCATAGCAAGACCCTGTCTCAAAAAGACAAAAAAGGGGGGCTGGGGATTTAGCTCAGCGGCAAAAGTGCCTGCCTGGCAAGCGCAAGGTCGTGAGTTCGGTTCCCGGTACCGGAGAAAAACTAAAAACAAAACAAAACAAAACAAAAAAGACAAAAAAGGAAAAAAAAAAAGATCAGCTTCCAATTTGACAGTGTAAGGAGATCTGCAGAACTGTTTTCAACTGAAACTGATGAAAAACATTTCTAAAAAACCATTTATAAACTGGGTGTGGTGGCATACAACTCAGTTCCAGCACCCCAGGAGGCTAAAGCAAGTGGGACTCCAGCCTGGGCAAATCAGCAAGACCTGCTCTCAAAATAAAAAGAGGGTTGGAAGGCTGGGAATAGTGGTACATGCCCGTAATCCCAGCACTTGGGAGGCTGAGGCAAGACTGCCATGAGTTTAAGGCCAGCCTGGGCTACATAGTAAGTTCAAAAGGAGCTTGAATTACAGAGTGAGGTCCTGTCTCAAACAAAGCAAAACACAACACAACACAACACAAGGGATAGGAAACTCGTATTTTAAGAGAAAGGTAAGAAAAAGAAGTCTGGAAATACAGCTTAGTAGAGTGCTTCCTTCATGCACAGTGCCTCTGGTTCAAACTCCAGCAGTACAAAAAACCAAAATAAAACAAAACAAAAACCATTTAAAGATTCTGGAAATGGAGGGTCCCCAGCACACGGGGAGCCTCGGGCGGGGAGCACCGGTCTTCTGGCTGGCTAGCTTCCTGCCTCGTAGCTCCCAGAGGGAGGGCCCCCAGCGCATGGGGAGCCATGCGGCGGCGAGCGCTGTTGCGCACCGGCCCTTAGGCCGGCCACCGCC